CTATTAATAGATATAATTATTTTTTGGAATATATACAGGATCTTCATGCTACTTAGTTTATAGCCACAGAGTCGAATGAATAAAAATAAGCACATCAAATCTATTAAGTATGCATTTTTGAATCAGTCAAAATTTATGAGTACTTAATAGACTTGATGTTTGTCATATTCAAGATTGTTGATTGTTAGATATCTGCGTGACTTATATGCTAAGTAAACCACTGCTCTATTTTGCTGACCCAGGAGCAAATCCTTAACAGTGTCACCTAGGCAGGTTCCTGTTGAAAAAGGTGCTTTTCCTATGGATAGCTATGACACTCCCTCTGCTGTCCAATCTAGATCTTAGTTTTATAGGCTAAGTAAGCTCCTTCCCCCAGTTCTGCCTGACTTTTTGGCCACTCCTATCATTTTTAACTTATTTCCCAAAGTTCAACTTCTTAATGGGTTTTAACATTTTGTATTATGTCATAATTGTCCTTTCCTGCTGCAAGGTAGAGATGCTCCTTATAACTTTTTAGATGTGAGAATGGCTAGAGAAGGAAGTGTAAAAGATAAGACCATGCTATGGCATCTGGAAAAGGAACAAAACTTTATAACAATACTTTAAAATGGAAATAACATTTTAGTTTGTTAACTATTTTCCATTGTAACGCTGGGGTTCAGTAAAAGCTGCTCTTATTTCTTTTATTTTTAGGTTTAGTGGTCTACCAGTGAGGTTTTTATAAAGAAATAATCTTTGTAAAATATGATTTTGTCATGTTAACTATCCATAGGAAATATATGAAACCTCCTTCTTTTAATATCTCCACTTCATTCACTGGTGGTATTTTTTTTCTGTGCTGCATTTTGCAATATAATGTGCTTTATATCTGCTTCTGATTGAATATATTTTAAAATACATCTTTTTATATTTGTGTTTTTTGTTTATTGGGCCTATCTGTACCTCCTCATTATCATTAAAGCAGCTATGTTCCTTCCTTCCTTCCTTCCTTCTCTCCCTCCCTCCCTCCCTCCCTTAGAGATCTCGCTTAGAGATTAAAGTGCTACTTTTTCTGTTAATTAACTGAAAGAGAGAGATGTAGATGACATGGATTTGTCCATTTGTATTTAATTCTAATATGAATATTATTTGTTTTAATTCTAAAGAGTTATATATGATCTGGAATCTTCGCATACAAAATATATTTTCATTTTTTTCTTGGCATAATAGAAAGTTTAATTCACAACCATAGTTCATTGTTCACAACAAACTAAAAAAATAGCTTTATTTGCTATTGACATGTGTTTAAAACAATTGGTTACATTTCACAAAATGATGTGAAATGGGTTACCATTTTGCTCAAAATGTTTTCTAATAGGCTGGGAAGCACAGTTCAATGTAAGAAATAGCTAAAAATGCTATGTGCATAACTGAGAGTAAGAGCTTTACATTAAGAAACTGAGATAAGAATAATTAAATCTTAGGTTTGACTTGAAACTATTTCATCTCCCTAATTTCAGGCCAGCTCAGGAGATGTTTATCACTGCAAGGCCTAGTTTTCTGAAGCAAATGCTTTTGCTTTTCCTAGACCTCTATTGCTATCACTGCCCCTCTTCCTTCTTCTGAATCACTCATACATAATTATTTGTATAATTCAGTCTAAATATGCACCTTGGTTGCTAAGAGCATTTGCTTCTTGTCTTACCTGTTGTAGCTTGTATCGTTTTCTTTCTAAGATCTTTTAAATGTTTAAATATACACTTAAAACTGCCTAGAGAGAGCTATAAAGCACTATAAAGTGGTATATAAGTTTAAGCGCTATTGCTATATACAGGGAGGTTTCAGAAATCATCAAACGTCATCTCTAAAGCTGGACATAGTTTTGGAATTCCACACGTAAGTTTTTAGCTGGACCTGAGCTTGGCAACCTTTACTGGAATCTTGATTTAGAAAAGTTTTGGATTTTAAGCTCTTGTCTGTCTATGTTATTTTATTTGTTATTAGCATTTGTATGCTACCTACTCTGCTTTGGAATTTGAATGTAAAAGAAAAAAAATCAGATTGCATCTTTCTGTAGATATCTACTCTAACCTATTGCTAATAATCAGGTTGCTTTTGTTAAGCAAAACTTTTCTCAGCCAAATTCAATCTGAAATCTTTTATAATATGCGCTAAGTTTTAGTTAGTTTTAGTTTTAGTAATATTTTATTAAATTTAATTAGCAGCTCCTTAGCATTGAAGTAAAGTTAGGACATTCATCCCTAAAATTGCAAACAAAATAAAATTTTTGCATTTAGGAAATGCCTCCTTTACTTTCAGAGTAATGCTTTTAGGTTCCTAAACAATGCTTTCTGAAAAAATGTACTCATAATGTATGTTGTAGAATGAAGAATAATCCTTTCCAAAGAATAATAAAACTATCTATCTATCTATCTATCTATCTATCTATCTATCTATCTATCTATCTATCTATCTATCATCTAAAATTCGTCAAGCAATGTCTGAATAGTGGAAGGGAAAAAGCTGAATCTAAACGATGTTAGATAGAGAGGGAGAGAAAAATGGTTTTCATATGATTATATAAATTTCCCGAATAGTACCCTGTTTTCCCCAAAATAAGACATCCGCTGATAATAAGTCCAATCGGGCTTTTGAGCGCATGGCAATAGAGCCAAGCACTTATTTCAGGGTTCAAAAAAATAGAAAACATTTTCTTCTGCCAGCTAATTATTATAAATGGATCTCTATTTACAAAACAGTGGTAAAATTACATTAACATATAGTTATTCTATAAATAGAAATGCTCCAGGAATGATAATAGTCAAATATCCCTCCAGAAGGATCAGAAAGCAATTTCTCTTGCATGGATGAACAAATTCTTGTTTTCAGTCCTACATTGCTTGATACTGTTAATAAGGAACTTCTTTTCCAGCCTATTTCTCCAGTCAGGAAATGAAAGTTGGGTATTATTTGGTTCAGATCAAAATATTCTGTGAAGTGGGATTGAGAAGCAAAGTAACTGTCAGAAACCAACGAGCAATTTATCATTTTTAATATGAATTGGCAAGTAATTGTACTAACCTCCTGATGTGCCTAATCCTGTGCAAATACGAAAAGAATTTACAGGACTTTTCTCACTGTATCACTTTCACATGACAAACATAGCACTTGGATAAAAGTTTCCAAACATGGTTTCTAGCATCTTTTGGTAAGTCCAGAAAAGGCTTCAATCTAAACCTATCAAGCTTTGGGTTTGGTACATGGTTATAGCCTAGATCAGTGGTTCTTAAATTATTTGATGCAATTATTCTTTTTCCCAGTCTCAGATAATGTAATAACCCCCCCCAAACATATTCTTGTTTTACATAAGCATCTGTCCCCAATTACATTCTCAATTATAAACAAGCAAATACAAATTGCTCCATTACCCCAGGATATATCCAAGTTGCCCCCAGTTTAAGAACCATTGGGTCTAGATGGATCAAATGTTTCCATTGGATAAATTAACTTCCTGTATTTTTTGTATAGGAATACTTTTTTACTTTGCAAATGCATTCAAATCTGGTAAATGGGTATACCTCTGATTTTCTGCCTATTTCTAAAGCTGGCATTTCTCTTTTGAAATTTCCCATCTCTTCCAAACCACATACATACAGAAGGAAATAGGAAATATGACATCATCACTAACACACTGTAAAGTTAGTAGCAGGAACTAGCAATATAATAATGGCTGGAATCATTGAATCAGAGAGTTGGAACAGCCCCCAAACACCTGATAGTTGGCCAATATTTGTTCTGAATCCCTCCAATAATGGAGAACCCAACACCTCTCTCTAGGTATTGGTTCCACGGTCACATTGCTCCTATAATTAGGAAGTTCTTCCAATCAGATCTGACTTTCTGTAGTTTACATCCCTCATTCTGTGGTTTCCATTCTGGGTGATAGAGAAGAGGCAAAGTTATATATAAATTTCTAGCATGACATGAATTTTGTTTTAATGTTCTTCATATAATCACATTTTCAATGGAAAGTCATTTCATCCTCCAGCAGTAAGAAAGTCTGTCAAGGAATTTTCAAAAAATGTAAGTTAGTGGAGAGGGAGAGAGAGATTTCACACCCTTGGTTGAATAAGGAACATTGTAAATTACATTAAACTATTGCTAGTTCTAGTTTTTAAAGATACATAAAATGAATTTTTATAGGAACCTTTTCTTCTTTTTTAATATATTATCTTGCCCCATAACAGGTTTGTGTCATAAAAGCAAATTGGAATTTTTTCACTGAGTGTCTATTACAAATACAATCCTTATTACAGAATGGTTATGCTATTCCGTTCCTCAGAATTTTTTTCAGGGCACTATTTTGATATTACCTAATATGTGTGATTATTTGTGTGTGTATGTGTTCCACTCTGGCTCATCTCCAACATCTAGGATTCTAATATGTGTTTCACAAGTAATAAATTCTTCCAGATAAAGCTTGGAATAATAAAAGTCTAAAGAACTGAAAACTGTAACCATAGTTCTGAAATGAAATCATCCAGCATCCTGAAGTCCCTTTTTTCATTTTAGATTTATTTCTGCTGTGCCTCTTCCATTTCCCATGTCCTTGAATATTCTTAACATCAGATTTTCTAACTTCTGGACCTTCATCACTGACAATTGTTTTAACATCAGCTATTTACTTCCTTTATCCCCATCATCAAATTCTAATCTGGAAGTTATTCTTCCTATTGGAAAGCATTTGATCAGTCTTTCATAGGACATATCTTTCAGCTTCAGTCCTCAAAAGCCTCTCTGAAATCAAACTGGGCTGCATTTTACATGAATGCTGTTAGTTTCAAGTTTCAGGAGTCAGCCTGATGTTGTCAGTTCTGAATAGTAAAAAGGGAAGAAAAAGACCCAGTGCTTGAAGTTCTTCTCATATGTTCCCATCTTACATATCGTACTTAGACTTTCTGTCTCCACCAACTGTTCCTGTCTTTCGTTTTAAATTATTTTCTCTTTTGTTTTGTTTTTAGACCCCAGACAAGCACAGTCATCCCCTCCATGGTCCTATGACCAGTCTTACCCATCATATTTGAGCCAGATGACTTCACCATCCATTCATTCCACAACTCCCTTGTCCTCCACACGAGGTACAGGGCTTCCTGCCATCACCGATGTGCCCAGGCGGCTCTCAGGTAAAGACTGTGTTTGAATTAAACTAGTTATCTCAGAGGGAAGCTAGGAAAGCCAAGAACAGCTTAGTACATTTGTACTTAATAGATACAATATTTATTTTTAGGTGCATTTTATTAAAAAGAATTGGGGTTCCTCTGTGAGGTAACCACCTCACTTTGCAGTGATTTGAATGCTGAAAATTCCGTGATGTCTCAGGATCTCATTGCTTTACTATGCTCTGTTCCATGCTATTTTTAAAAGCAGGAATACTTTACCTCATTTATATGAACAGCTGCTCTTCTCCTTCTCCTTCTCCTTCTCCTTCTCCTTCTCCTTCTCCTTCTCCTTCTCCTTCTCCTCCTTCTCCGCCTCCTTCCTTCCTTCCTTCCTTCCTTCCTTCCTTCCTTCCTTCCTTCCTTCCTAAATTTGCCCACCCATTATTGTTAAAAACTCCATAGCTGTAATATTTTGATCACACTCTATTCTTCTAGAGTTAATAGGCAGAGAAAATGACTTTATTATGTAATCAAGATCCCTCTCAGAAGCTAGGAAATTAAAGAATAGAATGCCATCTTGGAATAGGTTGAGGATGGTAGCAATGAAAAAGGAATGAAAATCTTCACAGAAATAATGCTAAGTATCAGCAATACTAAGTCTAAACAAATTATCACTTGTTAAAAAAAGTATGTTCTCTTGGAAAATAATCTTATTGTTATATTGCAACCCAGCCCTTCATTGTCATCCTCTGTAGTTTGTTATTAGTGTCCTGTTTGCCTGAAGTATGATTTATGATTAACCTGTAAAAAACTCTATATGATCTGCTTTCCTCATCTTTTTGTCAAGTTGGCAAGACACAGTTTTTATCATTCCGTGCACCTGTTTGACTCTCAGCCAGGTGAATGTCTATAGAATATATAGTATCATTGACAGGCTAAACTGCAGCCAGGAGTCATACAGGATTTGATTTGTCTGGTTTCTTTCTTTTCTTTTATCTTAGGGATGGGAATTTGTTATATTTCAAAAGAAAGAGCAATACGAATCAACATCTTTATTCTCAGCTATTCAGTCTGTCTTCAGATGTTTACCTTCATATCCATATCGGGTAGATTCGAATGTATGACTTCTGGAAATGCCAGCCAGCTTGTTGTTGTTGTTTTTTCCTTTTAATTGAAATAGAACCCATACAACTGACTTTAAATTTAGGCCATCTTCACTTACTTCAAGTCTCTGTAGTGTCAAGTCAGTGATTTTTTTTTTTTTTTTGCAATTTTTGCTACTGGCAAATACCTGCGGGAAGCAGTAGGTTGGGATCCAGAGCCCCTGCTTGTCAGTATTCATTCCAGCTTAAGTGTCTCACATGGGGAAGAGCCAAAGAACTTGGACATCTCATCTCATCCCATTAGAAAAAGAAAAAAAACAGCACTTCCTTTGTTCATAGTTTCTAAGAAAAGGTAAATTCTTTCACTAAACTTAACATGGTGTTTCCCTCCCTTTTTTCAAAGAAAGAGAACAAGCCTTTTAGTTAGAGAATTATGGCTTTGAGGTGACTGAACAAGTTATAATTTATCTAAAAGTACAGCAAAAAAAAAAAGAATCATTATTGATGTTTTTAAACTGAGACTATAATAAATTATCTTGAAATTTGAAATAATAGTACACATATTGCTGATTTGTATTTTATAACATATAACAATTTTCAATTATTATTGATAGAATTCCAAAGAAGTAGTGGGGACAGGGGAAGTATTTAAATGGAATACCCTGCCGTGACTAAAAAATAGAAATTGGAAAGGAAGAAAATTAAAGAATTTCATTATCAGAATTGGAAAAACACAGAAAGCCAAATGTTAAATCAAGAAAGATAATCCTGATCTAAGGACCAGCAAAGAAGAAAGGCATGAAGACAAGATTTAAATAGGAGATTAGTGTTGAAGATATTAGGAAGATCGGGAAGAGACTGCTAACTTTAAGCTTTAATGAAAAAAAAGGAAGCCATTCAGATGGCATTTTCTTATTCAGAGAGTTAAAGGATCCTTTTATAAAGTATAGTCATAGGGTGTTCTATATCAACTTCCTTACTACTATATTTAAATAGTGTTGGTATTTGAACAAAATATAAAGGCTTTATGCTTCCAGTAGCTAATAACATAATGCTTAGAAAAGCAGCAGGAATCTTTAATTCTGATATATTGCACAACCATATTTCCATTTTAAACAGTGTTTACAGTGATTATTGGTTAAATAGAGTTAAATATATTAATGTCAACATCTGGCTTTTCTTTATTAGTGTCAAGCAAAATAAGGAATCTAGCCACATTTATGGTTAAGGAATTTAAAGAAGTCCTCCCACCATTTACCATCACACATTTATCATGCTGATGTTCTTGGCATCTTTAACAGTCTATAGCTGTCTAGATATATTAGGGTTATATTAGTGTTTCAGACAGCAAACAGAAAGTTTGAAAGGGCAATAGATGTCATAAATACTTGGGTTCTCCTATCCGGGAATTGCCAATATATGAAAGTACTCTCTTTGAGCTTTGGCAATTATTTCTCATGAATACTCGGCATGTTACACTCAGTTCATTTCCTTACAATCAATCCTAGATTCTGAATTGAACTCCACTACCTGACCATCTTTGCTCCAGTTGCAGTTATTTGTGTTGGTAGCTTGATTTCTGTTGTTTGTGCCACCTCTGTCACCCTTGAAAAAAAATAAAAATTTCAAAACTATAACGGTGGAAGGAAAATTATTTGTGTTTTGAGGGTATATTTTATGAATACAGAATAATAGAGTTGGAAGGAACTTGGAGGTCTTCTAGGCCAACACCCTGCTCAAGCAGGAGACTCTATACCATTTCATACAAATGGCTGTCCAATCTCTTCTTAAAAACCTCCAGTGATGAAGAACCCACAACTTCTGAAGCCAAACGATTCCACTGGTTAATTATTATTGCTGTCAGGAAATTTCTCCATAGTTCTAGATTGCTTCTCTCTGATTAGTTTCCATCCATTGCTTCTTGTTCTGCCTTCAGATGCTTTGGAGAATACGTTGACTTCCTGTTCTTTGTGGCAGCCATTTAGATATTGGAAGACTACTATCATGTCACCTGTAGTTCTTCTTTTCATTAAACTAGAAATACCCAATTCCTGCAATCCATTTTTCATATGTTTTTACCTTCAGTTTTCTAATCATCTTTGTTGCTCTTCTCCGCACCCTTTCTAGAGCCTTTACATCTTTTTTATATGGTGGCAACCAAATCTGGATGCAATATGTGGTCTTATCAAGACATTATAAAGTAGGACTAATACTTCACATGATCTTGAATCTATTTCTCTATTAATGCAGCATAGAACTGTGTTAGCTTTTTTGGCAGCTGCAGCATACTGCTGGCTCATATTGAAATACTTACCCATTAGGACTCCTAGATCTCTCATAGTTATTGCTTTTGAGCCAGGTACCACCTATAATATTCTATACCTGTGCATTTGGTTTTTCTTAGCATAAAACCTTACTTTTCTCATTGAATTTCATTTTGTTGGATAGGGTTCAGTTCACATCTATCAAGATCCTTCTGGATCTTGAGCGTATCTTCTGGTGTCTTGACTAATCCCTCCAGCTTGATGACGACTGCAATTTGATGAGTTCACTTTTTACCCCCTCACCTAAATCATTTATGAAGATACTGAAGAGTACTGGGCCTAAGACAGAACTTTGAGATACTCTACTGCATACTTCTCTCCATATAGATGTAGTTCCACTGAAGACTACTTGCTGAATGTGCTTGGTCAGCCAGTTACAAATCCATCTGGTGATTATGCTGTGTAACCCACATTTTTCTATCTTAGGTTGTAGTCTACTTTATCAAATGCCTTACTAAAATCCAAGTACAGTATATTGTGTTTGTAGCATTTCTCTGGTCTACTAATTTAGTCACTTTGTCAAAAAATGCAACAAGATTTGTTTGGCATGATCTGTTTTTGATAAATCTATGTTGGCTTCTGGTTTTAACTTTGCTTCCCTGTAGGTGTTCGCAGATTTGTTGTTTAACTTTATTTATTATCTTCATTTATTTATTAGGAAAGAAAATGAGGGTTTTGATCGTATATATTTTGCTTACCGTTGACTTGATAATCCTAATGGCTCTGCTAGACAAACGTAGGATGTGGGGACATGGATAGTAAGATGTATTTAACAAGTGAGTTAGCAAATGTGTTAAGGCATTTATAATAAAACTCTACATTATGTGCCATATCTGGACATTGACTGGCACAATAAAAAGCTGTAAAGTGCTTTTGCATTTGGAGATTAGGCTTTCTTTTTTCCTTTTAGGAAACATAATGATCAGGTTAGGATTACATTTTTTTTCTGGGAATGGCAAGCCATGTCTCAATTCCATATTCCATTAGCTCATGTAACCTAGAGGAAAAGTGTCAAAGAAGTGTTGATTTGCTATCCTATTTACTCCAAGTAATGTATTATTTTAATGTTGAACAATACATGATTCTTAAGTGTTTGCTTTTAGATTGCAAAAGGTTCAGCTAATTCAACACTATTGTTTGCCCACTTTTTAACCCTCTGTACATAGAAACCTGTGCATAATCTCTCTTTCTCTCCTTTTTGCAATTAATATTCAAAGTTATTCATGCTTATACTAAATTATTATAAAAGTAATAATTCTAAAACTACAATGTTGTATTTTGCTTGTTCAACTTTGAAAGGTGTAGTAACTGCAGTGGTTACTGTCTGAGTTTTAGAGTTTGGTCAGCTCTGGTTCGGGAGCAATTAATGTATAAAATCCCATAGTTTGCATGCATGCAGTCTGGAATTATCTGTTAGTATAAGTGGTGACTCCTTAGCTTTAATACCACCGAGATAATGTTGTATTTAGCTTAATCTTTTTCTTCAGTTGAAGGCTTGTATATATTGAACAGCTATTATCTTCTGTCCAACCTCAAGGTTGGGGAAAATGGTAAAGAAAGTGGAGGGTTCTGGAAGAACTGGATTATTATTTTGACC